TCCCAACTTGGAGGTGGATAGCTGGTTGAGCTTCCACTTCCATGATCTTGACTTTGGTGGCGGATGGCCTTGTACTTTTCTTCCTCCAGATTTGCCTGTTGAAGGGTTACTGATTTTTGTGCCTTCCTGCAAGGAGAAAGGCGCTGTGGATGTATTCCTTGCTCTCTTGCATGAACACGTCGAGCTCTTCAAACAGATTTGCTACTCTCTGGACTAGAAAAGCTGCATAGGGAAGCTTAAGCTGGCATCTGAGATTTCTCAAGCTTTAGCTTTCTCGTTCTTTACTTATCGTCGTGCTGTTCTTTTTGACGCAAGTCATAGTTAATTTCTTTGGGTTCTCTGTAAGAAGATTAGAATTGTATTGGGTTCTTTCATTGTATTAATTATATTTATACAAGAAGGAAAATAATCAAAGTTTATTTTTATTAACTAAGAAAACTACTCTTTGACAAAAATTAAGCGATAAGAGTTAGAATCAGTCGTTGTCCATCTCAGGCTACGCTGGATTGTTAGGCGTGATGAAGACCATCGGATACTTATTCATGGATTTGATTGTTGCTGAGGTTTGGACGAAGGAACCACAGAACAACTAACTATAAACGCAACTCACACTTCCATACGTGATTGTCGTGCACTACCTGCAGAACCAGTCCACAGATTATTCAAGTTGCACTCCTAATCCAAATGAATTCAAAGATAAAGTAAGGTTGCGTTTGGATAAATTGTTCCATTTATGCTTTAAAACCCCGAAAGCACAAGGGCCCAAGTCAGGGCTTTCTCATGAAGGCTTTTGGCTTAGCGAGGCAGGTCCTACTCCTACCTGATAGCTTATAAGCAAATGTTCTCCAAGAAGCTTTTTTAGTGACTTCTCTCCAAAGCAGCTCAATGAAAGTAACTAAATGGGTAGGCTTCCATTGAGCAGCTTATTTTGTGGGCCGGCCCATCCAATCAGTCAATAAGGAACATTTGTTGAAATTCTGATGAAGCCCAAAATAGTTATCCCAAAATATGGCATTTCAGCTTAAGTTTCTTTTTAGTGGCTTCTTCAAAACAATTAAGTGAAAAGAGTTGCCGTTCACCTGGCCGATTGAACCGTTCGAACTTTCACTCGGTTAAGATTCCAGGTCCAATTCAGTCAATACCCGCCAGATGATAAAAAATCGTTCATTGGTCAAGAATTGTTCGATTCGGTCAGTTTGACCATTGACCCATTTGATTTGGTGACCGGATCATGGATTGCACACTCAATGCATGCAAAATTTTGGAGGTCATAACTTTGCACTCCGGTAGCCAATTGGGGTGATTTCTGACCTGGGTCACGGGCCAAATGGTTCTTGACTGAACCGGACTCAGAATCCTGACTGGGTGACGGTTCGAACGGTTCAACAAGCCGGGTCAATGGCGGGTTGAAAACATTAGTTTAAGCAAAGCTTCACCCCTCCCAAACGAGCAATTAGACCTTGAGTGTTTTTCTGTTTTTTTTTTTTTGTCCTTAATATTAAACTTTGAGCTTTGGAGCTCAAAAGTGTATTGATTTCAAATTGTAATTATTGCTCAGTTTGGAAGGAGAACAAATGCAAATATGTGCACTGCAAATACATATAAAATAATAGAAAATACAAGATTTTGCACTGTACATATTTGTATTTGTACTCCTTTCAAGCTGAGCCAACTTGGAAAGAGTACAAATACAAATATGTACAGTGAAAATACATACAAAATTCAAGGTTTTGTACTCTACAAATTTGTATTCATAATCGTAGCATATTACATTGCATTGTGGCCTTTGCACTGGGCCCATTCAAATTTTGACAAAAGGCAATCCACCTGCCCAAGTCGCACTCCTACTAGTTTTTAAAACAAAACAAAAATGTAAGTGCTTTAGGTCTCACTCAAACTTTAAAATAGTGTCGTTTCTTAATTCAAGATTAATGACATATCAAAAAGTGTGGTTAATTAGAAGTTATAATTAAACTTAATTTACTCTTAATTCAAGTACAACCCAATTCAAATAAGAAACCCATCACGAGATGTGGATCATATATATTTTGATAAATCGGATTGTTTATTTAGAAATACTAATTAAACTTAATTTAATTTCCTACATCAAATAAAAACCCCAATCTAAACACTAAAAAGAATTGCACTTGGATAGAAGCCTGGACATGCCGTGATCTTGGCGTCGTGGTTATTGCTATATATCCACTGAGGCTATGTTTGGTTTGAAGGTAAAAAGTAGGGAAAAGAAGGGAAATGCAGGGAAGCTTATACAAGATTTGTAAGCTTGTATAAACTTATTTTTTCTTTCAAACCAAACATAGCCTAAAAGTAAGCCATTAGGAGGAATATGGGGCTGGTAGCCTGGCATGGACTGAAGGGACTGGGAGCGTTATCTGGCTTATTTAAAGAGGTCCATACCCAATTAATGATCAAAATTGATCATAAGACTTGTCCAAGTGACAGAAATTGGTTGGTTTACACAGAAGCATTGTTTTCCTTGAGAGGCTGAACGGGCTTGTTGGTCCATTTAGCTCGACAACCATTTACTTGCAAAAAATGTTGACTCAGTCCACGCAGTGCTGTAGTGCTAGTGCACTAATCAGTTGAACTGTCAAACTGTTTGACCATCACATGTTAGACATAAGTTCTATTTTTTTTAATTTTTTTTTTGTATTTTTAATTTTTTTCATCATTAATAATAATTCTCATTTATCACACTTATTTTTATTTAATATAATAAATACATGATATTAGAGAAAAACCCAATTTTTTCTTTAAAATTTCTATATTTTTCTGCATTTTCTCTGTTTTTATACTTATATATGATTTATGATATCACAAGTTGACCCATTTGACCTGTATGATTGAACACCTAACTTGCCGCTAGAAAGGAAAATCTTCTTTCTCTGAGTCATTTTTTAAAAAAGTTCACAGAAGATTAAAAATTATCTCAATCACTAAAAGCAAAAAAATTATCTCAATCACAAAAAGTGTTGTTTTTTTGTCAAAAACGAATTTTAATTTTTTAGTTTATAAAAAACACAGAAATATGAGAGAAGTACTCGTGAATTTTATCATGTTAAACTTGATTTTCTAATTTAATTTATACATGACTCTAGGTGTGGCATACACTTAGCTTTTGTAAACCAAAGGAGTGATCTTTAGAGAGTTATTACTTATCATAGAGAAGATGGGGTTAATATTGTAATTTCATCTTTTTATTCTTGTATACAATTGTACATTACTGTACTTATTCTTGTAGGGAAAGGTTTTCCATTTATACAATAATATATATACTCTTTCTGTTTGGGCATGTGACCCACTCAACACAACACACCAATCAGTTCTCTCTCTTGTTCTCTCACTTGCACTCTTGGAACTAACAAGGTATCAGAGTAGGTTACTCTCTTATTGATTCTTTCTTTGTTTGACCCTTAGTGTATGTAGTAATCCTATTCTCCTATTAGGATTTAATGCATTCTCTGATTGGTGGAAAAGATTCAAGCTCTTTTGATCAACCCTAGTTGTTTATCTATCTTTCGTGATCAATAGGAGAGATTTCTTTAGATCTCCTTGGGAGACTTCGAATCAAGAACAAACCTGAAATCTAGTGTCACCTAGACCTGATCTTAGTGCTCTACAAACAACTTTTGATTTGGTGGAGTTTTGATCTTCTTCCTTCAGTGGCTGCAACTTCTAGTTTTTTTTTTGTATTGTCACATTTAAGATTTTGTGCTTCCGTTATTTTCTTTGAGACCTCCTGTGGTTTTTGTGACTGCTTGATCATTTATTAAGGTTCTCTATCAATTTTTTTTTTTATGATTATTGCCTTTTATTGTTGTTGTTTACTATGTTCTTCATTGAATTTGGGGTCTAAACGGAGTGATTCATCTCTGTAAAGTTCAATGGAACAAACAATGCTCTCTATTAATTTCATTTCTAGTTCTTTGTTGAAGGAAAGGGTCTGTGGGTTTATCTGGATGGCACCACAACCATCTTTGATGATTTTGAGGCTAAGGGGCTAAAACAGTAGAAGATTAATAATATATAAAGAGTTTCCTGGATATTAAGTTTGATTATTGTTAATATTGCCATTTCTATGAGGGGTCGATCTGAAAATTGTGAAAGGGATGTATGATTATCAAGAGAAGGTATATCAGTAGTTTAACATGTCTATACAATATCATATTGAAATGGACATATTCCTATAAACTTAACGGGAGAGGAAGATCCAAGAATACTATACTGGATTTGTTAATCTTTGGATGGAATATAAACTTATTCATCTTGGAGCTATTTCTACTGACTATTGTGTGAAAGCTATGAAAAAGCACTTTGATCAGAGGATGATAATGCACT